TATATTATATTGTGTGTACTTTTTTTAATTTTATTTAGAGTTTTATTGACTTTTTTAAATTTTTTTAATTATGTTATCTGAAAAAATTTCAAAGAAATTAATTGCTCTCGTCAGAATCTGAATTTTCTTTTTTTGACATTATTTATTTAATAATTAACTAGCGGTGGGAAGCAAAGTTTTGCTAAATTTTAACAGCTAAAAACATGTGTGATCTTGAGCTAGCATAGCCAAGTCGGCCACTGTGCAGCGTCGCGCCTCTCTACTTCATTACGCGCTTCATTACTGCTCCCTATCTCCATCAACGTTATCAAATTTTGTTTGGGCAGGCAGATTGATCGGGTGTGAAGAAAAACAGAAACAAAATGTGCACGCTTTACTGATTTCCCTGCGCTGAAATTTTGAAATTTGTTGTTAGTCACCGTCTCATCAAAAATAATAATAAGAAAACAATGTAAAAATTTGCATTTGTGATAAATGCTGACGGCGAAAAAAGCCCAACTTCCTTCCTCGCTCTGTCAACGCATTTCGTCTATTTCCGTTTATACCGACAGTCGTTCGTTCTATTCAGCAACGGAATTTAATCAAGACTTTTGCTGCGCTATATCAAGCTATATTTTTAACAGAGCTTCTCTCCTTCTTTAGTGATTCGTTGTATACATGATTTTTAATGCTGACTGCGGTAGGTGCGCCACAGCGTATGCGGGTGGCGCGCTGCTAAGTTCCGTAAATTAAAATATTCTGGCACTTTTTCGCGTAATATTACTTTATTAAAAATGTAAGCTGCTCGAAATGAATAAACAATGCACCATTGCGGTAACAAAAACAACTGACCATGACACGAAAAGTATGAAAGTGGAAAGCACTGTCTTTAGTACTTTGCCAGTAAATGAGGAAGTGTGGTTTAATAAACTAGTAAATAACCATAGAAATGAATGACGTTGGGTTTATTATTTCATGACGTAGATGTCTTTATTATTTACCTGTCTTCTTTGGCTTAGCAAATACTAAGAACTACGACAATGCAAAGGGGAACACTAGAGAATATATTAATTTCTGATGGCAATAATTTCTATATTTTAATAATGGACGAAGCGCAGAGAGTTGGTAATCACAAAGTTGTAAAAAAGGAATGAGCAACCTTTGAAGCACTAAAAACCAACGAAAAACATTAAATTCTCTAAATTGAAGCTATAATATCGCTCACACGTGCACTTCTTATATTTTAATCGGTGTAAAATTATTTTATCTTATCTTAGTTTGTATGAAAGCTATATGCTATAGTGGCACGATCTCAACAAACTCTACGGATATTGTACTGTTGTCTTAAAATATAGTTCAGACCAAATTTTGTGAATATATCTCGTAAAAAAAAAGTTTTCCATACAAGATTTGTGTTTGGTCGTTCGGTGTGTATGGCAGCTATATGATTTAATTGTCCGATTTGAACAATTTCTTCGGAGATTGTATCGCTGACTTAAGCTTTAACTCGTGCCAAATTCTCGCCAAAAATGCTGCTGAATATATACTTTTAGAAAGCTTTCGAATTATGGTGCCATTGCTTCAACTCAATAGTCGATAATATCAATTTGCCTTAATTACCTACATAGTTAAAATTATACCGCATGTATGTAAGTATGCTATATTATGCTCGTGAAATCAACAGTCCGCACGTAATGTGCGTGAAAGTATTTACTGAGCCGCTGATTACGCATATGCATTCATTAATGCCTTCCATTACTGCTCTCCACTCGCATATACATATATATATACTGCTTAAGTAATTATTACTTATTTGTTGTTGTTTTTTTCTGTTCTGTCTATTTGCAGAGAACCGTTGTATCGAACTGCATTCGCCGGATGGCGTGCACTCGTGCATCCTGCGCGCCACCGACTCAGCCGAAGCGCTGATCTGGTTCAATGCGCTGCACTCGGCGATGTGTGGCAGCACACAGCGCGCACTCACCGATGCCAATCGCGCGCTAATGAATGTCATCGGCGAGCTGAAGCACATTGGCTGGCTTAGCAGGCGTTTGAGTGGCGGCAGCACCAGCGGCGGCGTGGGCGGTGGCAGCTCTGGCAGCGGCGGTGGTGGTGGCGGCAGCAGCGCCAGCGCTATTGGCGGCGGCGGCGCAGGCGATTTGGTAAGTGACCAACGCGAGTGTGGCGGACTGTGTTGTGCCGCAAGTAGATTGAAGCGTTTAATTTTTACTTTAACTGCCATTGCAATGCCCGTGCTTTCTTTCTTTCCTTTCTCCAACCATTCGCTGCGCTTCATATTGCATTTTTAATGAATTCATTTTATTTACAATTCTTTTCCGGTTTGCTGCTACGTTTTTTCGTGCAACATTCGTATGCTGACCTTGTAAATGTGCTACATGCAATGTTGAACGTGTGTATTGTGCCACAGCCAAGCGGACGTTCCAGCTCGGAGAGTTCCGATGAAAACGACAAATGGCAACCGATTTTTGTCGCCGTCACCGAACGTGAGTTCAGGTAAGTGATTGCTTAAGCAGACGGGTGGGCTCAACGCCTTGCCACATACTTGTAGAGCTAGCACACTTTATCTGAATTATTGGCAGGTTTGGCAATAACGACGCGGCACTGCTGAAGCAGCAGGCCAAAGTGGCATATATATGAGTATATATTTATTTTTTGGTTTTAATACTTGCATGTGTGTGTATATGTTTGTATATATTACGTGTTTATACAACCATAGTTCAAGTAATCTGCGAGATTGCCGCATCGAGTGCGGTACTTCAGCGCCTTCACTTATATTGAGCATGTCGACAGCAGCAGTGAGGAAGTATGAGCGCTTATACCATCAAAAATCTAAGAGACATGTAAATATTGTCTATCTTTTTTGTACTTACTTACTTACTTACTTGTGGTAATGCGTATGTATATGCAAATCTGTATTTGCATATGAAAGTTAATAATACGCGCCGCTGCCCTGTGTTTGCCAAAGGTGCGGCCCAATCTCATAAAGCAAAAGAGATTCCATTTTTCAGTGGAATTTTGCAAAAAAATACTCGCACAGTTCCACCGCAAATTTCTCAAGCGCTACTTAACTGCCTGCCCAGGTGTTCACTTAAATGCTTCTCGAGTTCGTTCACATACAAAAGAAAAGTAAATTTCTGAGTGGTGTTTCAGGTGCGTTTCTCTGTCATACAGGTAACGTTCCCGGTAAATAGATATATGACAGTAGCTCAAAGTGTTTGCCAATTGTGTGAGGTGCACATTGGGTGATGGATTATTGTAATCACGGCATATATTTACTATTTTATAGACTTTATCCGCGCATTAGCATTTTTCGGCTTGTGTTGTGTGGGTATGTGTGTGTGGGGGGATGTATATTCTTGCCATTTCACTTTACTCTAAAGACGAATAGCACACAATTATTTCGGAATATTTATGTACCAAAACTGCATATGAGCCCCCGTCACTGAATTTATGATGCTCACCATTATCTGCATGAATAATGCGTAACGCATTTGCTCACAATGCATTTTACTGTGACAAAATATTCCAAGAAATTTTTATGAGTTTAATTTACGCAGAAATGATAGATATATAACAGGTCAATTGAAAAGTCCGCTCCTTCCCACAGTAAAACACATTTGCTTGGCAAAACTCGTTTTTTGTTTTTTACTTAACGTATTTCCTTTCAAACACTGTTTACTAGTATGGGCAAAAAATAGTAAGACTTTGCTCATAATTTTAAAAATCTTAATTTATTCTTCAAAATTTATGCCATCGCCCTCAAAGTTATCTACTTTAACCCCAATATACTTATTGCAACGTTTTTTACAATACTCGAAACAGTTGTTGAAGTCAATCACCTTAGTAGCCATCAATACTTATAGCGCTTCACGTTTATTGACTCAAAACGGTTTAACCAGAGCGATCATTCCAGTTTGCTGAATAGCAAGAAGCCACGGGGAGCAAAATCAGGCAAATACGCTGGTTTCGGCATGCTATTGGTTGAAAATTTGGCAAAAAACTCACGAAGGATCAAAGCAGTATACGACGGTGAGGCCATAAATGTAGTATGAGACAATAATACCGGCCACTTTTTACGAATTCGGCGAGCACCGCATCTCGATAAACGAAAAAAGCTGTCAACATAACTTTGATTTTTTACAAGTGTTACTTCACCCAAAATGATAAGTATATTGGATAGTCAAACTTCAACATATTTTTCATATTTATAATCAACTTTTATGAACCAAAACCATTTTGATCAACCGCTTTTTCCTATTTTTCCGCTAGAGACATTATTCCGTCAGTGTAAAACTTTTCTGGTTTCTCGGCAAAAAACTGAACTAAATTGCACAGACTTCTTTTGAAGCCAACTTTGCTCCAGTAAGGGAGTTCTGCATTGACCGAAACAAACGTTAGTCCGATGGTGCAAGATCAGGGCCATGTGGTGGATGCATAAAATCTACCCAGCCAAGCTCTCCCACTTTTTGCCGAGTCAATCTCATCAGTTGTTGACAGTAAAATGTAGAATCATCCGTTGTGCCAGGTTGGAGCAGTTCTTTCGAGACATCAGTACTGGCTTTGCGACCATTTGTTGAGCTTCACCACGCTTTGACCATGATCGTTTTCGCACATTGTTGTCGTATTTGATCCACTTTTCGTCTCCTGTTACCTCTCGATTCAGAAATGGTTCGATTTCATTTCGTTTCAGCAAAGAATCGCAAATGTTACTTCGGACCATTAAATTTTTCACAAACAATTCATGTGGTAGCCAAACATCGAGCTTCTTTTTGTAGCCAGCCGTTTTTAAATAGTTCAAAGCTGTTTGATGATGAATGTTAAGTTCCTTAGCGATGTCATGACTGCTTAGGTGATAGTCTTGGTCAAAATTTTCCATAATTTTATCGACTCTTTCAACGATAAGTCGACCAGAGCCGGTGTATCGTTCGCATAAAAATTTCCAGATTGGAAGCGAAGGAACCATTGTGTGCTACACAAACTGATGCAGCATTGTCTCCGTAAACTTCACAAATTTCATTGGTGGCCTGTGTGGTATTCTTCCCTTTTTCCTGCAAATACTATATTTCAAAATATAGGGACTTTCTTCATTATTTTTACTAATTTTGGAATAGCTATAACTTTTTTTCAACTTCCCCCATTTTAACTTTTATTTGGTTAAATGAAGTGTAAAATCTCCCCTTTCCAACACTGTATGGTATGACAAAATGCGATTGGTAGCACTGGAGATGTACGACTACAACGACATCTTTTGAAAAAATACGAAAAGACTTTTTCGACTAACCAACAATTTACGAACTAATGATCCGTATAAGCGCGCTGTTTGAAGGTTCGGGCTAACTAAAAATTTTGTTTTAATTCTAGTAGCGTCATTTATGTGTCAGGCCGTGAACTTTTCAATTGACATGTTATATATATAAGTGATTGGCATAATGTCCTGAGTCGATCTAGACACTGTTGCCAATTTGTTCATCCATTCATCTGTCTGCATACACCGAAAATAGTCCCTCAATTTTTGAAGTATCGCTCTGAATTTTTGCACAAGCACAAGTAAAGCATATGGCTGCCATACAAACTGAACGATCAAAGTAAAGGTTTTGTATGCAAAATTTTTTTATTTGATGGGATAGCTTCACGATATTTGACAGGAATAATTAACTAAAGCAGCGGTATAATCTGCAAAGAAACTGTTCAGATCGAGCCACTGTGGCATGTAGCTGCTATACAAATTAACCTATCCAACTCAAACCCTTGTATGGAAAACTTTTACCGAATTTGAATCGAATTCGAATGATTTCTACTAACTCCAAAGAAATTGTTAAGATCGAGCCACTATAGCATATAGTCACTCTGAAATCTGATCCGATCAATTTCAAGTTCTTGTATTGAAACTCTTCTTTATTTGTGAAAAGTTTAATAGGTTAGGTTATTTCTTTTTATTAACTCTCCAAGCTCCCACTCCAATTTGTTATGCGAAATATGTAAATCCGTAGCGCTGCCCTCCGCTGACCACGCCAACACAGCTTTGCCATTATGTGCACAGTTAATCACAAGCGATTTGCCGGACACTCGTTTTCATTGTTGTTATTGTGTAGAGATGCTTTGCTTTTTTGCTGGTTTTTTTTTTTCTTCGGTTACAAGCTCTTCTTCGCACACACGTCACGCCTTTCATGGGGCTCATTTATTATTGTTTGAATTTGTTTCATTTTTTATTCGATACGTTTTCCATGTTTCATTTGCACATTTTTTACTTTGTGGCAACATTGCGCAATATTACATCATCAATCAATGACAAACGACTTGGTAACCCTTTTTTGCAGCTTTTGTTCCTTACAAGTTTTGACTTAACTGTGCTGACCGCGGGCAGCTGGGAGTGAAACGGTTCATATGCTGGGACAGCAAGCGGTCAACTGGTTATGAAAACAGCGCGCCGCTACGAACCAAATGTGAGAGCGAGACGACGTACAGATATAATTTATAAGTGGGGTTACTCAGCAAAACATTACTGATGGGATTTGTGTGGTACAACGGGTTTTAATTGGATTGAGCTACAAGCGGACGTGGGAAGTAGGGGAAATTTTTTGATTAAAATGGCAATGAGCTTACCGTTTTGTAACGTTAGAAGGATCGACTCTGGCGTAACACACTCAAAATACGCGCTTCGAAGCTTGAAATATAAAGAGCATTAAAGTCTTGGAATGTACTAAAAAGTTCTTAAGTTAGCTGAGTCTTCAAGTAGATTAAGCAGTGGTTCCAAGGTAGCCGTGGGTGTCTACGTGGAGGTGCACTTCCTGCGTCAGGCGAATGTTGTTGCACGCCAGTGTTTGGCTTTACGGCGTGTAGACAACAGTGTACTTGCGTAGAGCAGGTGGATAACAGGCGTTCATGTGCGGCGTGTGTGGTGTGGAGCTGTGTGTATATGTGTCTTCACTTATTTCCCGTTTCCGCGCGTTGTCCTTACGCCCGGTGCTGCGACGATTGCAATTTCCTGCAAATTCTTGCTTTGTGTATTTTCTGTGACTCTGCTGCAAATATTTCCATTGTTGCTCCTTCGCTTTTCGCTTTTTGTATGCTCGTTTGTTTGTTTGTTTGCTTGTCTCCGGTGCAATTATTGCAATGTAGCAACATTGCTGGCAAAGGATATAAAAATAATAACAACAATCATGACAATGTTGTAGCAGCTGCACAATGCAACGGAAGTAGTGTCTGTTGGCATTGCGCAAGGCGGCATAGCAACGAAAGGAGAAGAAGAAGGAGAATATAGCATGTATAGTGTGCGCTGGGGGGGTGTATGCAAGCTGACGGAGCAAAAGTCAAGTGCCACGCAACACAATTTCCGCAAATTATATCCGAAATTGTTCAGAACGTGGTCACCTAACACATATACATACCTATAAAGCTGACAGCTGCTGCCTTTTGACAGCAATATGGACTTGTGACAGGCATACATACCAATCTATACCTACGCTGGTGTATATATGTACTAAAATAGTATA